TATCAGGCTATGCAAAAACAGGAAAAAAAGTTTTCTATTGCTTTTATAAAATAAATTTTCCGAGCAAAGACGCAAACCTCTTTTTATGGCACTGATTAAAAGAGAAATTCTTACCAGTCGCAAAGTCTTGTCCACGAAGTCTTGCACGCGTAATCAGTTCTTGTTTTGCAAAAGGATGCTTTCCAAAATACAGGCTTTTCTCGCTTAAAATGTCAGCTTACGCAAAAAAAAAGTGACACACTTTCTTTTTAACGATTTTCCAAGTTTCAGCCGACGAAGGAATGGGTAAATAAGGTAAACTTGTCGAGTTTTGAACTTGAAAACTTTTTCAAATTCGTGCTTGCGTGATTAGCGCGCGAAAAGCAAAACATCTTGACGCCACAACCATGTTTACATACCCTCATGCAAACACTCTTGTCGGTCAATGAGAGCGCGCGTACTATCTTAGTTATTTTATAATTTGATATAGTAAAGTTATGTCAGGGGCACTTTTAGGGTCTTGAAGTACAATACCGACGAGGCAAACCCCCACAATATATGCCGTAGAGAGGACTGATTTATACCACACAACCGAACTCTACGCCACCTTCTCTCTCGAAAGCAGTATGGACTGAATTGAAGTACATCACAACCAGTACGACCTCACTAGCCAAGATTCATAAGACTTCGGTTGTTTTAGCTTCCGTTTACGGTTCGAATCACTGCTTACGCGGTGCGGAAAACCGGCGCTCTACGAACTGAGCTGAAAATAAAGGAAACCAATGTATATTACCCTGCTTTTTCTAAGCTCCTTGTCACGTTACCAATAGCTTCATCGACAATATCCAGCATGGCTGCATATGTCCTCCTCGTCTTGTTTTCGATAAAGCTGTATTTGTCAATGTATTTTTGAGGTGCTTGAACCGGATCATGAACATTTTGAAACGGCAAGTACAGGAAGAGAGGCCTTGAAGAACTGTGCTCCTTGATAACTTGAACTGCTTGCTGTGTATTAGAATTAAGATATAAGAGATGTAAACGGCCTTGTCTTTACTTGCCACAGTTTGAATTGTGTACACTAAATTATATAGTAATTCGTAGCGGAAAATGAAATGCATACTCCGTCTCAGGTCTAACCCTAGAGGACAAAAACAGTATGTTGTAGTAAACGTTACTATCAAATATTATTTCATATTGTGTTGTATAAATGTAAAGGCTGATTTACACTGAACAGTTCGTCCAGGCCCGATAAGCAAACATAAGCTTACGGTTAACAGAAAAACCGGCACAATTTTTCAAGTAGGACTTCGATTTCCCTTTAGACAGAAAGAAAGTTGGCCGGCACCGAAGAGTATCATTGATTATCATTGATTATATTTACGAGCTGTTGGAGGGTTCGGTGTTGTATTTTGATTCATAACGTTCTTTTTCGCCTCTATTTTCCGTAAGGTATTTACCTGGATGGAAAATGTTTTTCGTTTTTGGTGTGTTTACTGAATTTTTTCATAACCCTCGAACGTACAAGGAGGGGCACCCCCCCTCTGAGGTTTTTTGAAGTTTTTTCCTAAATGAGCAAACATCAGCACCTGCCGTTTTCAGTAGCTATTGGTTTATCCCTTGCACGCATTTTGAAACTGAAGTTTAGTGATGGTCTGTTACTATGGCTACCAGATACGACGTCATAAGTAGCAGGTGGTCAAGCCATTTTTGAGTGAAACTGCATGTTTTTCAAATTCTTTAAACAATAAAAGTAAAGCTAATTGTAGAAGAAATGATGCACAGTGCTTATTTAAGTGTTATTTTTCATGTCGAGCACGAAAAATTACCATTTATCGCGGTTTTAACCTAAATTCCAATTCTTTGTAAAATTCAAGATGGTAGTCAAGATGGCGACCATTGTTGGCGAAGTCACAGGCCTCCAGCAGCGCCACCACCCATAAAATATACCTCATCTCGTAGAGAAGATCAAAGGGTTTCCACTGAAGGCAAAATCGTCTCGAAATACTGCAACATATCACAAACTCTGGGGAGGGGTTCCATAAATCCCCCTTGTACCACGGTGGGGGTATGAATTTGCGTGTACGTCCGAGGGTTAACTCACCCATCCCCTTTAATAAGATAAAAGGCTATTTGTCATGTTATTGGTTTAAGGCTTAGTATTGCTTTTATTATGATTTACCATATACACACTCAGTGATCTTGGTGATTCAAGCAATCTGATTGGTTCGCTATCTCGGACTATGACGTTATATTCACCGCGCTAGGCGGTGAATATAAAGCAAAACAAAATCGCTGTCGTGAACTGGGTGTTTTGCCAAGTTTCAGAGTAAGAACCTTTTTAAAATACAAGAATATTCCAGGGTTGATGATTTTGAAGGTAAGAAAAGACTCCATGGTGTTTAAACAGCGTGATTTTATTGCTAAGTGATTTACTGTAGTTGACTTTCATACGCTCGAAGCAATTATGTTTTTGTTGACCACTACAGAGGAAAAGGAGGACGCTTTGACGCCATTTTATGAACTCGGGATTTCCTCGCAAGACCAATTTTGCCTGGAAATAGAAGTTAATTTATGGGGAAAAAAGGAAATCAAAAGTTTTAGAAAACTGTACGTGCCAGCAACACGGGTCTTTTTTGCATGAGCATGCGCGACCGCTGAACAAGCGGTGTGCATGGAGGCTCACCACAGGGTTTGCCTTCATCAAAATGGCGCGTCTTAAAGCTATCATAGCGATTATTTTGCTCGTTGGTCTTGGCGAATGTGCTCGTGATTTAACAAAATGTGTAGTTTGCAAAAAAAACTCTAACATGGTCTTAACAAAAGCGAAGTAGGCCGGCTTGAACACACACGAGCTACTATCAAATTTCATCTCCCCACTTGACCTGGATAACAGCGCGCGTATATGTAGTGCCTGGAGGATCGCGCTGACCTCATCAAAGTCTAAACAAAGTGCAGAAACGTTTGTTGATGCAACTAAACACTTTCAATTTTCTTTGTTTTCAAATCGGAAAGGAAGAGAAATATTAAAAGAAAACATAGCAAATTTCAGCGACTGGGCTCGAAGTGCTCGAAAGCCGATGTTCAGTTCAGCAGTGAATTAATATGTGTTCTACAATTATCCCAGCACTTTAACGCTACAAAATTAAGAGCACACGAGACGTAGATTAGTCACCTGGTGAGATGTTGGTGGTAGTCACTCTGCATGTCTCGAACAATAAAAAAATGAATATCAATGAGACACCGTTCAAAACTGCATTCAATAGGACCGAAATTAAAGTCCAATCTTGTGACCGATTTTGATGAAACAAACGGTTAGGTTTCCCAAGAAGTACAGTAAACATGTGATGCCGACCAAAAGTTAAAAATCATTAGAACATTTAAGTTCTGGCTAAAAGCAAATTCCTGTAAAAGATGCGTTACAATGTTAGTCCACTCAAAAACAAGAAGTTCTACAATTTTCCTATAAACAAACTTTGTATCGCTAAAATACCTCAAAGCAAAAACTTTCTATTCCAACAGAAAACGGCGTGGTAGTCGCCCGCTGATCGTTATTAATTCACTCCCGAAATATGGCTAAATCAGCTATTAACAAATAATTGATTGAAATCCTCGATGGCATCGAGAAACTGTTTTACATCCGATTTATAGACAAACACTAAATAAAGAACATTTTGCTCAGTAGCTACGCATCAGCAATGCATTCTATGCCAAACCTTGCGGTTCTTAAAGGGGAATCAAGACACGAGTCGAGCGCCAAACAACAACAAACAGCCATGTTCGTGTCAGACATCCTTGAGAAACTTGCTCTTTCACCTCGTTCAGCGCATCAGTCTCCACCTTAAATCAACAGATCTTTACTTATTTCGTACAACGAAGGTATTTCCTAAGTTCCTGCTACCATTTCAATCTCAATCAAGCTTTCAAAGTGAACAATTTGCTTCCTATGACTATGCAGCACGGTCGCTGTCACTGGTCGCGTGCTCTTTGACAAGTCAGCGGTCGCGCATGCTCATTCAAAAAAGACCCCTGTTCGTGCCAGCAAGTTAACATGGCAAGGAACACTGCACTGCAGATGATTAGTTATTTAAAGACTCTGGGTGTTTGTCCTGCCAGGGTTTGAACCCGCGACCTCCCGCTCAGCAGACCGGCGCTCTCCCAACTGAGCTAGAGCTATCCAGGCGGCAGACAAAGCTTTACCTGTTAAAACTTCCAAAGGGAATTCCGTCACCTGATCCGTGTAATTCGGGAACAGCCTGTTTAATTATTTGTGAAATTTCTTTGTTACGGCAGCAGACCGGGAAGCCATTTTGCTGGTAACTTACGCGAGTTTGGCGTCGTTCGCTAGAGGAGCTGGAGGTGAATCAGCGAATAGAACCGGATATCCCGAGTTTGAGTAGCCAATCAGAGCGCGCGAAAAACACTTAAACCACTGGTTTAGTATACGTATCCTAGAGATGCAAGTAGCGGGAGATCCGACTGTACCGCGTTTCCAGATAATCTGTACATAAACAAATTGGTTTTATACTTCACATCAAATTGGTTTTGTTCAAAATCGAAATGACTTGTTCTCCACCCTGAAGTTTGGTTTATTGCTTGTTCTTTTTTAATTCGATTTAGTTTCTTCATTGTTTCGTTTTTTTCTTTCCTACCTTGGTGAAGAGGTTGGCTGAGTACGTCCCATCCTTGTCCCGCACAGGGAGTGTATCGTCTCGTAAATCCAGAATCCCGAGGCGTTCATGCTCGAAGTGATCCTCACAGTCCGTGTAGAACCCATAAAAAGACTCGAAACCGCGGTAGGTCGGAGTGTATGACCACTCAAAGAAACCAAGATGCCATTTACCAACCATATGAGTGGCGTAACCTATGAGAATACAACACTAATGAGCATGCGCTTTTACGAAGTTGTCCTTGTGCTACCCAAACAGAGTGGCTGTCCTGTGGTGACTTGTGACGACTAATCTCTATCCTTCATCAGGTGCCCATAACCCGGAGCAAGTAATTCACTTGTGCCCGTGCAACGGTCCGCCTTCTTACGTACGGAACAGTTCATTTTTAGATCGATTTTCCCGCGACTTTTGACTATCAAATAAGCCTTACAAATCCTTCAGGAAAAACCGGAGACTAGGAGATAGTTTTTTCTGATGTTTGACAGCATTTACGTGTTGATATTGTTATTATCATTATTATCGTACTATGGTTGCGCACACAAACGGGGCAGTGCTTCCATTTTCGTGGGAAAAAATACTGCAAAATGATGCTAAAAATAAAGTGATTTGTGAAAACGCCTTTGCACTATAAGCCAAGTATGGGAGTTGCAAGCTCCAGGTTATGGACTCCTGCCCTCATTCATCTTAATTTTGTTGTTACATTATTCGTTAGGTTACCCTGCGAGCAGAGGCCCTTCCATCTTCTTAGATAAGTCGGGAAGAGGAAGGGACTCTTCCTGGTTTATCTAGGAAGAATGAAGGGCCCCTGCTCCCAGGGTATCGTTAGATAGGTTGCGCCTTGGAAGTCGAAGTGAGCGCCAAAACATGAAGGGGCTAGGAAAGAAGGTTTCTTTTCCTTTCCCTTTCACTCACACTCCTAGTCCAGGTCTGTCCTCTCTCTCTCTCTTTCTCTGTCACGCAACGCCTGCGTTGTGTGACAGAGAGAGTGGGGCCAGAACGGGAATATCACACCCCCGATTATCTCACTCGGGTCACTCGCCCAAACTGGCTCGCACGCACAGAAATGGTTGTCACACAGGCTGCGATCCAATAAACAGGGCACTATCGAACTAAGCCAAAATAAGAGATAAAGTCAAGACGTCAAGGAGTCACAGAGACCCCACACCCAGTTTCGGTAGCATAAAACACCTTCCGTGGGAGAGAAATTTACGAAAATTAACAAATACTTGAAAGCTGAAGTGACCTCGATTGACAAAACTTAGCCAGGACAGGTAATGTACTAGAATCTTTCAACTGTAAAGCAAAAATCTTTCGCTTGGCATTTGAGTCTAAATCTTCAATAGAATATTTGATTTTGAAAGTTGGATTGAGTTCCACATAATCCTATATTTTGGGGCTTGTTTTCTTCGCTCTCAAATTGGTAGAGAACATTTAAAAAAGCTCTTTCTTACCAGCGTCTTGTAATGTTTCTGGCAAAGTTTTGAAATTAAGTGGCAAACCGTAAGGCTGCGGAGCCATAATCACAGAGTGCTGCAACCCTGAAAGATGAAGAAATAGTGAGGATGACAGAATATTTTAAAATGATATTTAAGGTGTTTCGATACAGTGTTTTGGAGACCATACTGTTTTTTTTCCAATCGCCTTAAAAAATGATTTTATACTTGTCCGCATCGCTATAAAACCAGTGTATTGTGGATTGTAGTTTGTCAAAACACCATTTTTAGTAAAATCGATATCACTATGATAACAAAAAAAAAGCTTTGAAAAGCGGAATTTTGCGCGCTCTAGAGCCCGGACCCCCGGGATCTAGACCTGGTACTGAAAACCCGACCCTAGGAACTTAAAGTGTGGTGTTTAGTAAATAACCTCCCTAAGTAAAAAAATATGTATGTTTCAAGTAAAACGTAAATAAATTTCTAACCTTATATTTTCAATAGCCGCAATGAAATGTTAAATACAAAGTTCTACAGAACTCAAATTACTCAAATTACTCTAGCATCAGAATGCAGCTTAATATTATATGTTAATGCTAGGAAATTTTGGCTCGGCTGTATATCGGCTCGACAGAAATTGTTTTAAACCGTCGTCACATAATCTTCACGATGTCTGAAAATTTCGCCATTAAGATTGATTCACTGCAACACCTTGAAATTTGTAAGAAGAACCTAGCCTGCGAACCGGCCAAAAATCCGCGTTACAACATTCACTGTTTTGACGTTATGCTAATTTTTCCACTGATGCCGACTATTTTCGGGCATTTGTATTGAGTGTGACGAAAGGACTTTCCACAGCACGTACGTTCTAGTAAAGTCGCAGCCTTTACGCGTTGTAATTCATTCCACTCACAAAACTTATTTCTAGACTTCCTACAATCAATATGAACAAGGCGAACCAAAGCGAAACGATGTAATCGAAGCGAAGTGAAATGAAGCGAAGCGTTAATGAAAAACAACCATTAAACAAATACGAAGTCAAGATAAAATAACTACAAAACTGAGCGAAAGCAATACGGCAAACTAAAAAAAGGCGAAATACAAGCAAGATACTTACAAGACGATAGCGAGATTAGACGAAAAACTAGGACGAGCAAAACGACAAAAAAAAAAAAGACTTAACAATGACGCGAACATTAGGGCCATTTATACGAGGAAAAATAAAACACGTCTTAAATAAGACGCGAACTTTCCATATAAATGGCACATTTCGTCTAAAATAAGACGCGGCTTAGCTAAGACGCGTCTTATTAGACAAGACATGCTGGTATAAATGGTACAGTTGGCGTCTTATTTAAGACGCGTCTTATTTTTCCTCGTATAAATGGCCCTATTGAACGACTAAAGGCTGGTTTTCACTAGCAACGAAGTTGGGGTCGTAATCAGAGGAGTAAGACTTAACGATATAGTGAAAACAGCGTTCTGATTCCGCTTCCGACTCCATGGTTAGTGTTCAAGTGAAAACTTGGTTGTCGAAGGGGTGTCAGTAAAACTTGGGGTTAGGGTTAGGGTTAGTGTCAACCATAACCTTTACCCTAACCTAAGCCTAAAACAGCATTCTTAGGGGGAGATAGACATCGACCACGGGCCCGGCCCCGACCCCCACCCCGACCCCTACCCCGCGTTTTACTGACACCATTGTCGAAGTCGAGCTAAACCAATCGCAAAGCATGGGAACGTGCATTGTGATTGGTTTATCCTTCCACTTCTGCCACCGATTCCGATTTGGTTTTCACCACTAGATCGTAAACGACGGAGTCGTAAGAAAATGGAAACGTTCTGAATAAAGGGAAAAAGCCAAAGGGGTAAAAAAATCCAAAAAAATGTACAAAGTTTAAAAATATATGGCTCGGCGGGAACTTGAACTCACTCCCCAACACTCTTCCATTCGTGAAGTTAGATTCTCGACCACTTCGCCACGCGGCAACTGGTTAATAAATGTGCCAAAATTGTTATATTTAAAGCATTTTTTCTGCTGTGAACGCTGTTTGAAGTTGGTAGAGCTGTACTTATCATGAATTCAGAGATATCTTTCACGAAATTAGCTAAAAGGCGTACTTCAAAGCCATTTTGCATTATTTCGGCCTTTATTCACTCTCGGGTTCAACGACGGATGGATGTATCAAAGTATGGATCGGAAGCCAAAACGGTAAATTTCCTTCCAACTCAAGGCTAGCCCAATCGATTTTGAAGCGCAAATTTCCCTCCGTAGATAAGCCACACAGAAACGGCCTTTGAAAAATATTAGCCCCAGGGTTTATTTTCGGAATTTTACGGTATTCGCAGCTCGAGTTTCTGCTTTGCTATGCGATCAACGCGCGACAAATTTATAAACCTCGCGTGGCGCTTGCCTAGTCCCTGTACGGCGTCTTTCAAGGCCCTCTCGGTAAATGCATTTCGGTGACGTATCCGAGACGAACAGCCGGGAGACGCCTAGACAATCTCGGAGTGCGCATGCGTGACGCTCAACTGAAATAATCTATAAATAACTGCGTGCGAATATCCTTCGCTTAAAGATCGGCAGTGTCTGTTATTAAAGAACAAAAATATTACTTTAAATCGGAAAGAATACTACTGTATAACGTGCAAGGAATTTCTCTTTTAGTTCATTTTCAAATGAACCGTTAAAATGATATTTCTTTATTGATAAAAAGATTTGAAACAGTAGTTTGTTGACATTCTACCAAATTTCGAGACCAAATTCAACGGGCGTATGGAAAAGCAGGAACCGGAACCTAGGAAATAAAGATTGGAGACGTTTCTGTCTTGAGAGTGTCACTAACAATAATTGCTCGATCAATACTTTTCATTCCCTCATTATATTTATTTATTGTTATTATATTTTTTACTGTCGCATTTTTTGCGTACGGGGCAACATCGTTTTCTTCGAGAATTTCATATACGCGTGAGTGTTGCAACTTGGGATCATGATTGACATGAGTACTCTTCCTCCCTTTGCCGCCTTTCCCTCACAATGCAGACAATGGATGAAACACGGAGCCCTTTTAAGAAAAGGTACGAGTAAGAATATAAAAGTTTTCATTCTTCTCCGTTTTACTGAGTTTGAAAAAATGTTACCATTTTACAAAAACATATCTGTTTTCGTTTACAGATCACGACAAAGCGACGAATCGATTGAAATGTGAGTACATTTGAAAATGTGAAGTTGTTGTGCCTTGAACTTATGCTCGAGTCTGCGGCGGAACAGCATGGGCTGATTCTTTGAATTTTAGTGGTTTTGTTCTTTTTTTTTGCACGTCACTTTCCGAATGTGAGTATATCTTTGGTATCACGATCACCGTGCTAAAAATTTTTCAAAACAATGATAACAGAGGACGCCATCTTGAATTTTATTTCCACACGGGTATCGGGAACTGGTGCTTCCTAGTTTACCCCGGTCTCAATTTAAGTTCCGGTTCCGGTTCCGATTCCGGTTCCGGTTCCGGATTTCGGATTCCGGCTTATCCATACGCCCAAATTCAACATCCTGTCCAATTAGTTTGATAACCGGCTTCCAAATCCAAAAATTAAATTACATAAAATATTTCGGAGTGAAATGATAACGAGAAATTTATAGGAGCAAGCGAAAATAGAGAAACGAAAGATAGCTTTTCATATCCAAGAATAAATATAAACTTATTTCTTTAGCCTGCTTTAGCTTACCATCCGATCCTTGATCAAATAATTTTTGCGACGCTGTTTTGCTTAGCCTACAAATAGTTTTTGAGATGAAATAAAGTTCAAATTAGTTAATGAGATAAATGAAAAAGAAAGGCCAAAGGACTTTCAACAATGAAAACGTGAGGAGAGTAAATATGCTCGTTTAACCTCTTTATCCTCTCTACTCTCCATGGCTGCTGGACATCTTTCATCAGCGCGGAAAAGTTATTGACAGCTCGCCCGCTTCCAAAAACTCCGCCCCAAGTGAGACAAAATGTCTCACTTCTCCCAGTTTGTCTGGGCCTCAAAAACTTTCTCGGACCACGTGTCCCGAAACGCATCGGCCTCGCATAATAATGAGGCCTAGGGACTAGGCAAGGGTCAGCACTTGTTAACATCCGTCGAAAGGCCCTCTTATCTTCGGTCGGATTTCGTAAACGTATGACGTCACGTTCAAGTTAAATATGTGATTCATCTGCACTTCGATCGTCTATATCCGACCTGTTTGATTTTTGGTGAGAGGGTTTGTCACTTTTTCGATCATTCCTCGATTGATTCCAATCAATTCAAATAAGAAGATGCCACTGCCTCCGTTTAAAGGATGTTTTGACGTTTCAAGCCTCTTCTTACTCCGCGGGGAAAAGGACCTTTCAGTGGATGTTACTGAATAACATCCTTTGAATGGCCCCAGATCACTAGGCTGTGTATCTAGGTGACAATTATACATTATCACTTTGCTAATTGAATACATGTACAGTGTGAAAATCGCCATACTTATATTTCACACTGGAGGAGAAGGATCAATATTGTTATTATGTTATGTTATTCATTTATTTTGTCATTTTACCATTATAAGATCAAGAGAATGCGCAAAATATGAGGCTGTAAATAATAATGTTATTTAATAATATTTCTGTCTGATTTCGTTAAAATGACTGGTCACGAGGTTTTCGCCTGGTACCGGGCACAGCCCTGCACCAAGCCAGTCCAGTGTCCAAAAAAGTAGGGGGCTTGCCGTCTTGGTCGGTTTAGCTGGATAGCCCAGTAACTGCCCTAACAGTGGGTGGGTGGATCAAGCCTGGGGGCCAAAATTAGTGGGCTAGGGAGGGGGCTATTTTGACACAACCCCTTCAGTAAGCAGCAGTGTTCACTAGAGACTTTGACTGGCAAGTACCTTGTTCTTAATTTGCCCCAGCCACTGAGCGGAATCAGGCCTCTGCTGAGAATGATAATGTTGATAGCCTTAGTCTCTATTTTTATATTTTGCACGCATTGTCCCGCCTCGAATAGCCTTGCTAGCTACGGGCAATACTTCTGTAAGTTTATTTGTTTATTAATAAAGATTTGTTGTTGTTGCTGTTGATACTATTGCAGAGCTCAGTGGGAGGCACAAACAGTCACCCATTGTCCTGGGTGGGGAGGATCAAAGTCTTGGTACAAAGGACACACTTAGCATAGGACCTGTAGACACTCACTGAAGCCATGATTACATAAATTCTGTCAGATTTATTTATTTATTTAGGTTTACTTATTTCATGCTTTGTAATTAAGGTTGCAAATGAAAATGTGCATTAACTGTGCATTTTGGTTCGAAGCCATTGATACTATGAAGTCTTCATCTACATGATATCTGCAAGTTATTTCTTGGGAAAGGTTGCCTATCAGGTCAATGGGTTTGTGCAAGATTTCTTTAATACATTTCTTTAACAGTAAATCAAAATGAATGAATGGTGGAATCAATATTTTTAATTCAACTTAAGTAACCCCTCAGAGTTTTGACTTGGCTTCTTGTTGTTTTGTCAAAAATGTCCTGTAAAAACTGAAAAGGGAGGGTCCAAAGAATTTGGAAATGGTATCTTCCCAGCCTTTTTTTCAATTTTCTTTTTCTCCAGATCTGTATTAGCCCTTCCCTCTCTGTAAATAATCCCCACTCCCTGATTTCTTTGAGGTCTTGCTTGAATATTAATTTATAAGTGCACCTTAAAGCCTCTTCTGCTGTAATTGTTCCTTCAACTTCTTTCGCAGTAAACGCATGTCATTCTAGAAAAAAAGAAAATGCTCTGTCATTCGATCAAGTAGGGCAGATGCTATTTAATTTCATGAAGCAAAAACAAACATGGAAATGTAATATTATTGAACAGTAAGATTGTTTTTCCTTGTTTGATCATCATTAAAATTCCCTTCAGTTTTCCTGTGCATTAATTTATTGACTGTGTGATTTGACTGGAGGATTGATTTTTGGTACACTCTTGATCCTCCTTTCTCCCTCTATATGTTAATTTGTTTTCTTATTCAGTATCAAAGTGTTGACCAAATTACTCCGGAATTATGTTGCTTGTGAAAGGCATCTGTTCAACCCAAGTGCCCCATAGAGAGAGGAGTATTTGCTAGCTATGATCTATCATGTGGGCAACTATTCTGCAAAGAATTTTAGGTCTGATTTGACCGATCTGTTAGGATGTTTGTTACCAAGAAAAGGTGTCTTTACTTACAATAGTTTGGATTAATGCAGATTTTTAACATAGAAATTAATTGCTGTGAACCCAGATTAGTGTCTGTTAGTAAGAGGTTCATGTAAGCTTATAGGAGGTGTCGGTTAACAGAGGTTCTGCACGTACAATACCTGACGGAAATTGGGATTTTTCCCCCTGCTCAAGTTCTGTGCAAACTAAATGTCATACATCTTAATGTTACCATTTACAACGGTAGTTTAAGAATATGAGTGATGTTCAGAATACCGAAAGTTTAAAAATATTTCTTTGTCTAACAATGTAAATTATAATGATTATTATAATCATTACTATTACATTATTGTATCAATTTATTACAATATTATAGTCATTGCTATTACAAATTTTGGCAATACTATGCAAAATATACTTATCATGTAGACAAACTCAGCCACAGTCATAGCTCTTTGCGGGGGGGGGGTGGGGGGGGGGTCTTGCCCCCACCTCCCTTTCCTACTACCACCACAGCCATGTTTCTCAACCCAAAATGGGTCAAGTGGAAATGTTAAGATTTTATTGAACACCAGTTGTAGCATCCAGGGCGCACGTTTTCTACCCTCCGACGACTCAAGAAGCACAATGAAACAGGATTGTTTTACCCTTTGTTTAAACAACTGCCTACTTATGCATACCTGGCCAACTGTTGATTGCGGATTCTTTGGACACTGTTAAGATCTCAAAGAGGTTTGCTTGTGCCAACAAACTAAACAAATGACATTTTTTGGGAAACAGGAGTAGCCGTATTGTTCTTAAGGAGAACGATCAGATAATGCGGGAGCCACGTGAAGTTGCAGAAACTTTGAACGATTTCTTTTCAAACATTGTCGGCACTGATAAAACAACTGAACGCATGAAGGATTTCACACATTTTCCACACGACTCCGCCAGCGGCCAGATCACCCTAAATTATACTAACCCCATAGAAGTTAAGGAAATAATGTGTACCATGAAAACAAATAAAGCCATTGGCCATGATCGTATTCCCGCGAGGGAAGTGAAAGATTCTGCTGAAGTGTTGTGTGAGTCGTACTGCACTCTCTTTAATTATATTCTGGACGTTGGAAAAATCCCTAAACAGTGGAAAAAGGGCGAAATAACTCCAGTGTATAAGAAAGACTGCAGCCTGTCCAAGGATAATTACAGACCTCTCACCATTCTTCCATCTTTGTCAAAAGTCTTTGAAACGCTCGTTCATTCAAGAGTCAGCCCCCGGTTCAGGAATATTCTCCACAAGTTCGTGTTCGCTTATAGAAAGCATCACGGCTGTGATACGGCCCTGCTCAGTCTTACGGAGGAATGGCGAAGGGAGCTGGACGATCGGAAAATAATTGGCCTTGTGTCTATGGACTTGTCGAAAGCCTTCGACTCTCTGCCACACGATCTCATTGTGAAGAAGTTCAAAGAATATGGTGCTGACAAGAGAACTGCTAATATCATTGAAGATTATTTCTCTGATCGCCAACAACGAGTGAAAGTAGCTGGAGAATATTCGAGCTGGAATTATATTTCCAGAGGGATTGCCCAAGGATCAATCCTCGGGCCTTTGATATTTAATATTCTCATCAACGATCTCCTGTTCATCGTGAAAAGATGTAAACTCTCTAGCTACGCAGACGACACGCAAATTTTCTTTGCTCATAATGACTATAGAGAAGTTGAGAGTGCTATCTCGAGCTTGTTGATAAATTGTATGACGAGAACGGTTTGAAAAGGAACAATTCTAAATATCAAGCTATTGTGATGGGAAAACCTGACGCCAAACTTGATTTCAAGTGTGAAAATTCCAGTATCCCAGTGACTAAAGAATTTGAGATGCTTGGCATAACGATAGATAACAAACTGAAGTTCGACAATCATGTTGCTAAAATATGTAGGAAAGCTTTCACAGCAAATAGCTGTTCTTAAAAGAATGAAGAAAATGCTTCCCTTCGAAACAAGGCGCGACCTATATTTAGCATTTATCCTTCCTCACTTCAATTATTGCAGTGAAACCTGGAATTTTTGTAGTAAAAGTGCTGCAGACAAATTGGAAAGGTTAAATGAGCGCGCGATCAGGTTTGTTTTCAGGGATAAGTACACAAGCTACTCGGAACTTCTCAACGCATTAGATCTCTCATCTTTAAAACAACGAAGATTAATTAAAATCACACTGTCTATTTTTAATGCCGTCCACAATTCTTTAGCGCCCAAAAGTATACAAGACCTGATAGTTCATAGGAAGAACGTTAGCTACAATTTAAGAGGTGACTATATCCTCTCGCTACCCAAGCCAAAGTCTACTACATATGGCTTGAACTCAGTCCGTTATATTGGTCCGAAACTCTGGAATTCAATTCCGAACACGTTTAGAAATATAACGAATTTTAAGTCTTTTAAGAGATCCATTAGCCAAGTTGACCTAGTGCAATTTTTATAATTTCGACGCTTTTTTATTGAATTTAGTATTTATTTAGATATAAGATATACTTATTAAGATTTTATTGTTATAATTTTAATTATAGAATATTCCATATCTAGTTTTTTAACTCTTAATTTTATTGTGTTTGTGGAATACCTGTAAATTAGCTGGCGTGCTTTCACTGACCCCGATTTCGTTTCCGTATGTGAAAGCACACCATTATTGTAGCTAAGTGTATTTTCACAATACACTCTTATTGTATTGTAAACTCTTATTGTATTGTATTGTCAACTGCCCACTTTGTATACAACAGTGGCAGATCTAGGGGAGGGACCCCCCCTCTTATTTTGAGACCAAACTGAGGCCCGAAGAGCCAAAAAAATTTTTTTGGAGACCTGCCCCCCCTCCTTATCTCAGGGTCTGGATGACCGGGCGCCACCCCTCCCCCCCCCACCTCCCGTTATCTGAAGGTATGGATCCGCCATTGTATAATAATATAGCTACTACTCACCTGTGCCTCCCAAAGCCTTTGCTTGCCTTGTAGTCCTTGTAGCAGGAAAATCTTACGGTATTTCGAGTCTCAAAATCTTGGATTAGCTTTGTGCTTCTTCAGCAGATGAAACAGAATATAAATTATCAGACAACTTAGTGTAAGCTTTGGCTTTCCGTTGTTTAGTACTCGGGTATACTTAGCTTTCTTTTGCTGTCTTTCTTTTTCTGCTAGTTTTTTTGTTGTGTGTGTGAATGTTATTATGCGTAGCTGTGTGTGGTGTGCGGTACCTGACCCTTTAATATAATCATTTATTAATAACCTAAGTAAGGCTGCACTATCTTTTTAACGCTCAATGGTTAATATGGGCAGCCTGTACTCTCTCTATATTTTCATCTAATTTTTTTGTATCATGTAAATCAATGTAGGGCACAGCTGGGTACAAATAAAGTTGCTGTTGTTGTTTCAAGCATTCATTATTATTCGACAGAGACAGACATTACACAAATGATTCTCTATTTTTTATATTCCCGCCAATATTTGTAAAAGTTGTTAAGTGAGGCAGCGGTTCATTTGAGTTTTATTTGCTTGTTCGTGTAATTCTTCGTGAATGCAATTCGATCCGGGGCCATTCAAGGGATGTTACTCAGTAACATGCGCTGAAAGGACCTTTTTGATGCGCTAAGAGGCTTGATCGAGGTGAAACATTAAAATATCCTTTCCAAACAGATGCAGCGGCATCCTCTTGGTTGAATCAATCGAGGAATGATCGAAAAAGCAAGACAAGACCTCGAAACAAACATCAGATCATCAGACAAACGAAGCTTACATGAGTCACAGCCGGAACCACGAGGCGAGGGTGACGTCATACGTTTACGAAATCCGACCGAAGATAAGAGGGCCTTTCGACGGATGTTAACGAGTGCTGACCCTAGGCAAGCGAGGCGCCTCGGTTTCGCTTGGAATAAATTTTAAAAGCTTAAACGTATTTTGCTTAAGAAAAGACCAGTCTGATACATTCCGTTCGTGGATTTGAGGATCTTGTCACTGGTTTCCAGAAAATCGAGCCCAAAGCCAGCTTCCACTATGTACAGAAAATGTCCGTTGTTTTTGTTTCTTTTTTTTTTTTAGCAATTTTCAAGTTCAGAGAGAGATAGATAGTCCTTCCACTTCGTAAAACGCATATCGTTTTTGCTTACAGTCGAAGCAGGTCAAGCGTACCCCCAAGTTTCTATTATTGAATTGATTATTTGAAAAATGAATCCATTAGTCGTTCCGGTAACTAGTGTCAAATTCAAATGGGCTTTCCCTCATACGTAATAGCAGTGAATATTTTACGACAACTTCTCTGTATCCAGTGAGAGAAAAATTTTTGAATGGATTAAATTTCTTCAGACTGTTTCTTAGAAGACAATCACATCAAATTTAGGGAAACTGAGCCGGTAGAAATGTCGTAATTGCCTCGCGTGTGAATTCACGGCTTATTACGCATGCAAGAATGCTTAGATGAATCTGAAATCTACAACCACCAACGTATTCAACTTTCGAATAATAAATTCATTAATGGCATCTTGCGGGGTACGCTTGACCTGGCTTGACTGTAAATCGTAGATATATCATTTATTTTCAATATTCCGTTCATGTATTTGTAATTTTGAGGCTAACAAAGTCGCATGAATGAGTTTTATCGACGCTGGTGGGCCAAATGATACCTTTTCTTCTCTCATTCGGAGCTTTTTCAAGGCGCTCCTGCATTTGAATTTGCTGCTCCGGCGGTTATGAATAACTAATAACGTCTACGGTGAATCTATCGTTCAATTCAGGATCACCTTAAGACAAGAATAATTTTGAGCCCATATGGAAATTTTAATCTCGCTACACAGGGGAACTGAAAAAAAAAAATGATTGAAATGAATATGTTATGAGTGAAAAAATTTTGCCAAATGAAATATTCATGTTTTTAATAAATCCCCCAACGAGAAGCCTGAAAGCCAAAACTTGATAGTGAAGCATGTGTTTGAATACTTTAAAGAAGAAACGAAAAGGAAGACAAAATGTAGCTCAAACTATGTGTCCGTCTGTGCGTATGTAACTATCGCTAGTTGTAATAACTTGTTTGGTATAGTGTAATAAATAGCTTAACGTAGAAGATTGTAATTTTAAATTATCATGTTTAAAAGAAGTCGATGTACAAGCTGGTATAAGACCCCAAATAAATTAAGCTCTTGTCTTGTCACCTGTATGTATGGGGTACCTTCCAGTCATCAGGGTACTTCGGGTTGGCGTACATAGAGGTTGTACATAGTAGTTGTCCAAAATGACGCCCTCAGCTGCCAGTCTGTTGATGTTTGGAGTATGAATAACAGATCCTTGAAATCCCACATCACTCCAACCCAGATCATCAATTACAGTCAGTACTATGTTAGGAGGCTTGGAGCCATTTGCTGTCTCCAAAACGACAGCAATAAAAAAGAAAGCAAACCAGAAAAAGCGAAGCATCGATTGTTCATTACAGAAATATGAAACACTCTGGATCTATGCATCAGCGGTAAGTGGTCTCAAGCTCGGAACACGTGACTACCATGTGACTCTTTCTATTTGTCACTCAGAACTACTCTAATTTTTGGCATAATTTGGCAAACCGAGCGTAACTTTTGCCTTTTATCTTAATTTAGCACCGCTAGCATAATCTGGCTTTTTTGTTTTGAAGTGGTCAGGCAATTTGTTTTGAAAATACTTCGTTTTACTTATTCTGATGCTGGCTGTTTTTGTTGTTCGGCGCTTCAGCACCGATTCCTGTAATCACCAAATATTCACGGCTTATTACGCACGCAAGAATGCAGAGATGAATCTGAAATCTACAACCACCAGCGTATTCAACTTTCGCTTAGTGGAGCTTGAAGTTACGGGTTTCACGCCTGGTAACAAATGCAGATTTTAACAAAAAAATTTATGTTTCTCATAATGTATGTTACGGGATCGACTGGCAAAACTGAAGACAGAAGCTCTTGAACAAGCTGGATTTATTTGAAAAGCACAACAAAACAACATTGAGCTTTTTTATGCAAAAAAACAAATACTTCAAATATAATTTAATCCTTTTTAGCGGAGCTCTCTCGCGCGCGAAGCACGCGCAGCGGAGCACCATGGGTAAGAAAATATGGTAAGCTATAAACGCGAGAAATTTTGGTAATCACGTGATCGTCCGACCGTCCGTCAGTCCATATGTCAGCCCCTACATGTAAGTCGTTGTGAAATCTCTCATCCTATCACCCTTGCGTTTTGGCGGTAAATCGCATGACCATCCGGACTTTTAGAGAGGAAAATAAAACAAAGCCGAGTCTTTTTTCGACTAAATTTTAATTATGTTTACACTAAGGGGATAACAGAGAAAGAGCTAAAGCGAGAGATAAAAGACAAAGGAGACGTATTTCGTTACAAGGACAACATGAAAATTTTATATTGGTGGTGAGAAATTCAAAATGAGAAATGCTAGCGACCAGCTGGGCGAAAATAAGCGGCAGTGAAGATAAAAGCGAACAGGAACAAAAGCAACAAAGTCTTTTTTCAGCACATACACATTTCATCCATAAAACGTGTATTAACTAGGAAGTTTGCCAAGTTTCACGTCGTAGTCGTGCAACAACAACGACAAAGATGATGACTTGCAATTCACTAAGTCAGCGGGCGGTGTGTTCCACTCTGTTATTGATCTAGGAGAAAAGGAAAACTTAAAGACGTCCTTACAAACTCTTGGCATTCTATACTTAAAAGCATGGCTGTTGCGTGTTCTTAATTCACTGTTTGGTATTAAGTGTTCTTCTGTGTTTATGTCTACTTTTCTGTGGCGCCCAACTTTCAAATAAAAGCCACCCTCGAACAAGCGCCCTGTTTAAGGCGTGAACAAATTTAAAAAGCACCACAATGTTCATTCGAGCTACTTAAACCCTGATAACATTTCCCAATTTACATTCACCCTTCCTCATATTATACCCACTGTTTTAGTAAATACCGTAAAATTCCGAAAATAAGCCCCGGGGCTTATATTTTTCAAAGGCCCTTTTTGAGGGGCTTATTTTTGGAGGGACTTATAGTTGGAAGTAAATTTACCGTTTTTGCTTTGTTTTACGTTGTATTCGAGGGCAATTTTCCAAGTGCAAGCCCCCGGAGGACTTATATTTGGAGGGTCGATTTAACGGAGGGTGTTTTGCGTTACCCGTTTGGGGGGCTTATATTTGGAGGGGCTTATACATGGAGAGGCTTATTTTCGGAATTTTACGGTATTTGTTAACCTGAGACAATCCCATACTTAACACCTCAAATGCCGTACAAGTTCCCTCTTAAATCTCATGTTTATTAGGCTTTCTCGTCCACTGTGCTTCTCCAAGGCGTCCAAATGCCATCCTTCCGCGCAACATCCCAAGCCTGGCTGTCTGCGGGCTTGTTTAGAGGGGTTACGGCGCTACGTTTGTAAAACTCCAGTCTCTCTTGCAATTTTTGGACGACGTCAGGCAATTTTTGGCTCAAATCATTGTGTTCTGTAGGATCAGCTGTGATATTGTAAAGAGCAACTTCAATAAAACCTTTCACTTGAGAATTCTGAAAATGGTAAAAAGAGATAACTACTTACATTAAATTTTGGCGACATGTTTACCTCGCAATTTTGATGTGCGCATATTTCGCGACACTTAAATTTCGGGATTTTCTGAAAATTTTATATTTTGAATCACTTTAATTTCGCATTTTTGAGTACAATAATTTACATTTTACAGGCAATGTCATTTAACATCTCCTTGAATGAAATATAATTCCTTTACCAAAGGAACAACAACGTCAAAAGTAAGAAAAATGCAACAGTGAGACTAGTGTCAACAGTCACCTGACCTGCTCCCAACGCCAGTGGCTCCATAGCTCAATTGGTAGAGCATCGCATTGGTAATCGCGAGGTCACGGGTTGAAACCCCGTTGAAGTCCTGATTTTTTTTTGCAGGCTTCTTTACCCAACTGCATAAATTGCGTTCACTGCGAAGATCATTTCTTCATTTTCATTTCATTTCCGCAGTTCATTTATGATTTATTTCTTATATCCTTAACAGTAACAAAGCAGTTCTCACTATGTCCACAAGCATTTCATGCTTGTACGTGAATTATCGTTCTTGAGTCAATTGACTACAACATCCATTTACACTGAAAATTCCTCAGAAAAATAAAAAAATGTGATCTTGTAAACGTTTCAGTGGTAATAAACTTGTTCTTTCTTAATTATGGACATGATGTCAGTCACTTAATTTTCGCGTCATGTTATGTGCACGACACTTATTGTTCGCGTCACTTTAATTTCGCCATTTTTTGTATCGCGAAATTCGTGAAATTAACGTGTCGCGAAAATTTCATGTAATAAGGTGCCCGTCCTTTGTCAACATCAGAACAAATGACAAAAACGGCAATACACGGATTAGTTGCCACCGTACGTTGACCTCGGATGTTACTAAAACGGGGAGCGGGGCCTAAACGAGCACGGAGAAGGGGAAATTGAAAAATCGGAACAATGCAGAGAATATGAAATGAAGTTATTGATAGGGGAGGGTTCAAGGCTAGGGTTTTGTTTCAATGTTTCATTTCGTTCCTCGTGATCGTTCCCCGTTCCCCGTTCCCCGTTCCCCGTTCCCCGTTCCCCGTTCCCCGCTCCACGTTCCTCGTTTTAGTAACATCCGTTGTCTCCTAACTCAAGGCAAAACAAGAGAGTTTCAATTGTTGGAGATATATCAACTTTTTTCACCCCGTGCATGGCAACGAAAACTTCACACCACCACCTAGAGGACCCTTTTTTCTCTGTTCATTTCCTTTCTCTCTGTTTATGACCGTAAAATAGGTACGCCGTCGACATCGCTGATCCTTTCGCTATGCATGACACAGTAAAAACTCGAAAGTAAGCACCCAGTAATTGGCTTTGGGCTTCATGAATTTCTTCGAAACTAAGTGGATAGAGCGGTCACCCAGTGTTTGGGAAGTTATGGATTCGATTCGTGTAGGGAATTGAGATTATGTTCATCAAAAATATTCATGAAAGGCCTTTAGTTACTAACCATTTCTTTGTTATAAAGTTCTGGTGGCTTGAACCAAGTGGAATTCGGACAGCTCACCAATAGCTTCATATCTGCAACACGAATTGCCGCGCCCTGATAATAGGGGTCAATAGACTCCATCCCTCGGTAACGCTTCTCCTTCGGTGCTAAGTCGATGTTCAGGAGAATTTCAGTTCTTGGAGACGGCTTGCCTGTAGAAATTGTCTCCCATACATCAAAGCCGTCTACTGGTACAGGATTATTATCGACTTTTCCTCCTGCAACACGAATTGCTGCGCCCTCATAATCGCCTCGGTAACGCTTCTTCTTTGGTGCTAAGTCGATGTTCAGGAGTATTTCAGTTCTTGGAGATGGCTTGCCTGCAGAAATTGTCTCCCATACATCAAAGCCGTCTACTGGTACAGGATTATTATCGACTTTTCCTCCTAAAAGAATCAAGGTCTTGATTATGTCTTATGTTCGATAAAACTTGATTCGCAATATTTTCGTATTTTGTCCTGCTACATCGACGATAGTTAGCCTGCGATCCTACCCTTTCTACATCTTTAATATTTAACAATTATTCCTCTCGCCCTCATAGCCTCTGAGTCAATAGCACATGAGGCCGAAGGCCGAATGGACTATTGACTCAGAGGCCATGAGGGCGAGAGGAATAATTGTTTTAGTAAAATCCAACTAGTTGGTCAAAAATATCGAGAATAAAAAACGTTTAGCTAGTTAAAGCTAGACTTTAATCCTTTTTTGTCTTCAAAAAGCCCGCGCTCATATAGCCTAGTAGTAGCTCAACCAATCAGAACGCAGCATTGATGATAGACCACTAGTTGGATTTTACTAAATAGATTTAGCCAAGGCCAAAAGCGAAGCACTCGTGAGAACTTTCTAAAATAAAGTTTTTCTGAAGACTTTCTGTGATCACTTGATTACCATAACTGGTCAGCGGAGAACTTTAAAAAACACGTCAACTCAATAAGCTGTACACCCGAGCCCGCATTGCAGTCATGTGACACTTGTCGCCGGATGCCCTATTTTGACTGATGTCAATTGATCATAACATGACTTTCCAATATCAAGTTAAACACAATTCGCATATGCTTTGTAATATACATTAAGACATTTCACATACCGCTAACATGAGGGAGCGACGTATGTAAAAACGGACGATTTTGTCAGAAACAAAATTGGATGCATAGATAACCAAATTTCCTTATTCATGGTGT